TTGGAACAATTCCTTGTTGGCAAGAAGGAGTGAAGCTCCTTTTTAACAATAATAATCATATGCATGAAAGTATATTATAATCCAGACAGTGACAACTTAGAGTACCAACTGTCAGTTTTTTCCTCCCAGCCTGAATTAAAATTCTGATTACTGACATGCACTGTGGAAAGGCAATGACAATCACAAGCCTCCAGCAGTAACGGTGGAGGATAAATCTATTATCTCAGTATTGTCTGAATGGCTGTAATGGCTCCTCTCTTTGCAACAAATTGAATAAACATACTCATCCCTAATTATACACAACACCCCCATAGACATTGCTATTTGAGCCTAATTGTAAAATAAGAGACCTCAGTTTTAAACATAATATCCCGGCTAATTATATTTCAAACACATTAAATGATGCAGGGAGCAGGAAAAAGGCGATACTGATCTGTTTTACGGGCTTAGTTTACAGTAAAACAATGAAGTTACCATACAGCAGAGACCATCCTGAGCTTTAAAATACTAGCTTCTTTCACCATGCAGTAAAAAAAGCCTGGGGCAGGAAAAAGAGGCTAAGAAACACACTGATACGTAAAGCACTTATGTCTCTTTGATCATGTGTTCTTTCAGATTTTGGTTTTAAACTCTGGCTGTTTAATCTGAGTTCAATCACACACATTGGTAGCTGTGGAAAGGGGTAGCTAAACAGGAATCACTTGAGATAAAGGAGTCTTAAGCAAAAATCCTTTATTTTATGCCAGCTGAAAGTCTAAGCATGTTATCTTGTACCTGTCTCCCTTTGCTCTTGCACAGCTGCCAGGTGCTGTGCAGCTCTGCATGTGACAATTATGCAAAATCTTTAATGAATGTCTAAGCAGGTAATTTGCATAGAGTCCCACCAGTCTTTCCAGTGCCTGTCATCGGAAGCCACTCAAGTTGATGATTATGCAATGGAAGCTGGATAAGGTGCTAAGGCTGAGGGACAGGAGCAAGTTTCCAGCCTTCACCACAGCTGTTATCTCGTAACATAATTTTATGCCCTATCAAAACTGCTGGTCCCTCTCAGCCTGGTCCCTGATTAGCAGGGGTCCCCCCAGGCTTTCTGAGAGGGGATATCCCAGCCCTACTTGGTGACATCAGGATTGATTTAAACCTGGGGACCCTTTGCCCACAGACCATGTGTTCTAACACTGAGCTATGAACCTTTCCTAAAATTACTGCATGTCAAGAACTGGCAGGGTTAGAATCAGAAACCTGCAGGACTCCTAACAAAGGAAATTTTGGGGGGACATTTCCAATTTACCACAGGAGGAGGAAGGGATGAACTACGATGCATTCAAAACATTTTGGAAGAAGTAGCAGAGGCAGCTTCTTGTCTGACATTTCTTTCTTTTCTCTCAGCTGCAGCCCCTCCAAATCTCTCAACCTATGCTCAGAAATGTGGGATTTCCTCCTGGCTGTGGATGTCACTGAAAGCACTGTGTTTGTCCAGCTGGGAAGGAGAAGGACGGTTAACTCACTTTCACATACTCATGTGGAAAGGCAATGCCCTAGTAGCCTTCTTCATCAGCTGCCTCAACCATCCCTTGGAAACCTCAAGGCTTATAAATGTCTCCTTTATAATGAGAACTCTAGAATGTAATTTATTTTGAGCTTCACCATTAAGAAAACCCATGAAATTGTCAGACAAGATATGACTTAAAGGGCCGGTATGCCTGTGAGTGTCATTTGAAATCCACAATGTTTGACAGTTATGGTCATCTCCTCAAAGTGCAGTAATGCAGCTGTACAATTAAGATACCCCATTCCTGCCAAATGTTAATGTTAATCAGTGTGCAAAGCACTGCAAACTTAACTTCTACTTTGATCACAGCTTTGGTGGAAATATTCTTATTACACACGGGAACCCACAAGGCTGCCACTGTCAAACAATGAAGAGCATAGCTTAATAATAAACTGTGTTTCTGCATAGCTATACCTGGTTACTGCATTTATGGACTGTATTTAAAGCATGTTGTATATATGAAAACTACAGTGATGTGCATGACCGTCTAGGGAGTGACCTTAGCTCAGTGGCACCTGCTTCATACAGGAGAGATCTAAGGTTTGAACCCTGGCAACTCCATTTAAAAAGCTGAATGGAAAAGGCCACTCTCTGCCAGGGGCACAGGAGAGCCAGTGGGCTATCCACATGTAACAGCAGCAAACAGTGGTTTAATTAACCCACAGTTTGCCATGTCATATGCCAAGTGCATTCCTCAGCATTACTACTCTAGATTAACTGTGGGCTGTTTAACCCACAATTAACATAGTGTCTAGGTTAGGGCATTACCTCACAAACCTGATTAGCAGTTGAAAATCCAAATGGTTAAACACACACACAAATGCTCAGTATATGCTACAGTAAAATGTGGGTTATAATATTAATTGGGGTTAATTAACCCACAATTTACTGCCATTACAAGTGGACTAGGTCACTGTTTCACACTGAACAAGAGTTGCATATTCAACATCCAGCCATCACTTGTACTGTATGAACCCAGGTCCATGCTTCAATGAGGGTTATATACAACCCAGCAAAGACCACACATGCTATAATCCACTGGAGCTTAAATAATATATAGCAGAGTCACAGACTCTCAGGCAAGGATGAAAAGAAGTCTTGAATGGAAGGAAGAAAGCAAGGAGGAATGAATGATAATCTGAGCGCTGTGTTGAAAAGGATGAGAGACCATAGGCAGATTTCTGAAATAAATAAACCTGTCCTAACAGTCATAATTTGACTGCATAGGCCAAGACACAAATGAGCCTTGTTGGACATATTTGCAGCTTCCTGTTTCAGGGCTCCACAAGTAACACCAGAAATCTGGAGTTAACCATAGTTACATGCAGAGTTAAAAGAACTGAGCATTTCTTGGCCAGTTAAGCCGATGCATGACTGACCACGCCACTGCATAGTTCGGGAGTCAATGAGGGAAGTTTCAGTGGTGTAGAAGGAAGCAGAAGTCTAGGAGAAAAATGTTGTAATAGCCTCTTCTCCCATACAAGCCTGCCTGGATTTTAAGCTCTTTGTGGGAGTTTTCTCTCAATCAGAGCTCACCATCAGAGCTGCATTTCTTGTGGGCACAACCCTTCTCAGTGGTTACTTCCAGACTCTGAAAACCCTTGCTGAGGAAGGCTAGGCAGACTCTTTGTTGCCATCACGGCTGACAGGCAAAATAATTCTCAGGCAGGCAGGCTGAGCTGGCCTGTAGCTAGGGATGTACAGATTTTGTTAAATGAATTTTTCTCTGTTTTGCAGATGGTATCTTGCATTCAATTGTTCCCTCACCAATAGAAATGGGTACTCATATGCATTTGTGCAAATTTGCACTTCAGAAAATGTGTAACCCCTCCCCCAAATATACGAATCCCTGCCCCCAAATATGCACTTTCATGCATTATTTATGGAGAGGGATGTACATTTTTCATTCAACTATATTTGGGTAAAATACAGAAAAAAGTCCAAAAATCCATGGAATCCACAAGACTTGGAAAGGGCTAATTTGATGCGGGTCAGATTCACAGAAATCAGAACTCATTTGAGTCATTGAAGATTTTGCCAACATCCTTACATATAGCTGAAGGGATTTTTAACTGGTTGGTGATTATTGTTTTATTATGTTTTAATTGTATTTTAAAGTATTAATACATTTTTGGGGGGTGAAAGAACCACATCACCTTCCTAACCATTAGCTCTCAGTTGCAAAGGTTACTGATATGGTACTACTTTTTTCAGATTAAACACTATTGAAACATGTCCTATTGTTGCATGATGTCAACAGCAAATAAAAGAAAATAATTCCCCTACAAAAAGGAAAAAAAAAATACAAAACAAGTTCATTTCCATTCAGAGAAAAGGATGTGTCAGGAGAATGATTTTTTCATTTCACTGGGTTTCCTCATGTCATATTGGTGGGCTGTTGAAAAGACAGGTGAGATTTTGCAGTTGTTGGACAACCATTTAATTAAGAACTCCAACAAGGCAGAAAAAGCCTACAAGTTTTGACTTGGAGATTCTAAAATGCTCATTCCCAACCATCCTTTACAGTAATTCCTTTAAAACACTCAGTTTTCATGCTCCAAATTAAAAAGTAATGATATGCATCTAATAAATACCCACTTTTGTGAGTGGATGTGCTCTGAATTTCTGTCGCATCTTGCATAGCAAAACTCACCTCAGGGAGTAAGGACTGTTACGAAAGGACATATGATGGGCTTACATGAAAATAAAGCTTACACTCTAATTCTTAGTTTTCCCAGTTGAGTTCCAACTCAATTATAAAACAAAATGTGGAGGCACAGTGCAAGACTAGATACAGTCTGTATGTGCAAGTAATCAACTCCAATTCCCTCTGCCCAATTTAATTACAAAACAACATTTGGTGCAACAGCTAAATGCATACCAGGTGACCTCTTGCTCCAATCTGTCTGAGCATTTACAAGAGTCCTGGCTCTGTTGTGTGACTCGCACTGCAATTTTTTTAGACTGTTTAGAACACACAACAGTATTGCTATTATAAGGTCTTCCTGCCTCAGCCTTTACTCATGGCTGGTGCCTGCATGAAAGTAACTTCACAAAGTTAGGTATACAGGCAGTTGCATGAACTCTGACCTTTGATGTCTTCTTCTTGTCATTGAATATAAGCATATGTGCACCTTATTTCTCATTTGCAGTTTTTGTCAAGTGCAGTTCAAACATAGTGTTTATTTATAGGGATGGAGAACAGAGAACTGATGGAAAACAAAGCTAGCTAAAGGAGTCCACTCAGACTTGTATCCAATGTCCATCCTACTCAGAACAGAAATTATCTAGGGGCTTTAGTCAGGCTAAAACTGGGTACACCCTCACCCCTAGTTCACATAGTAGGAACTCACTAGATCACAGGGGAGGACTACTTCTCAAAAGAAAGTTTGCAGGGAACATCTAATTTCTCTGAATAAATGAACAGATCAAGGAAAATGGGAAAACCTACCATCACTGTTGATACAGACCACCTGCGGAACCTGCGTACCAGGCCCACACTCCTTCTCATTATCTGGAATGCATTCCTCTAGTCTTTCTATCCTCCAGTCATAGCAAGAAGGTTCTTCACATGGGATGGCTTCAAGCAGATGAGGGCAATTACCAGTGCCTCCTGTGGGTTCATTCGTGATGTGGCGTTTCCTTAGTTTAAAACCTTAAGTAGGAGAAAAGAGAAACAATTAGCACATCAGGTGAATTCACTGGTTTCCATTCACATTTCCTATTGAAGGAATATTGCCACATGTTTTCTATTGACTTTTTAAACATAATTTTCTATATTATGACATTTATATCCCACCTGAGGATCTCAACATGACTTATATTGTCCTTCTCCTCTCCATTGTAGCCTTCCAACAACCCTGAGTGTTAGGTGTGAGGGATGGACTCTATCTGAAGAATGGCAATGGGATTATTAAAGTTCAAGAGATAATGTGATGAACTTTCACTGAAGTATCCAGAAGTCAGGATAGTGCCTTGGAACTCTGCCAGGGTCTTACACATGGTCTCAGCTTATACTAGTTAGAAATAATACCAAAGATTGTGTGGTAGATTTTGGTCCTGCTGAACCTCACATCAACATGCTGATTTCTGGGATCATCTATCTTGGCTGGGCATTGGGGCATGGGGAATAGAACTTCTCATCCATTTTATGGTACATAAGACTTCAGCTGAACATGGTAGCCAATGGTTTATAGCAGAGATGGGTCATACTACGCAATGATTAAACATTACTCAATAATTCTATTATTTAAGAATTTATGAAGAAGTGCCATGCTGGATCTAACTGACTATCCATTGAATCCAGCTTTCTGCTCACACTGTGGCCAAGCAGCAGCCCATGAGAAGTCCACAAGCAGGATGTGGGTACAACAGCTGCCTTCCACCCAAGTTTCCTAGGAACAGATGTAACTAACTTCTGACTCCAGAGGTAGTGTATAGCTATCAGGACTAATGACTATTAATAGAGTTCTCTGTTATGAATTTGTCCAATTCCTTTAAAACTAGCCAAATCAGTGGCCATCAGTATATATTCTGGAAGTGAACTAAGTAATACAAAGTACTACATAAATGACTACTTCTTATTGGCTCCCACCAAATCAGTTTCCTGGAATGAATGCAGGTTCTAATATAATAAACGAGGGAGAATCCCCTCTCCGTAGCATGCATAAACCTGTACTCTCTGTCATGTTCATGCTCACACAAATTCAGATGTTGCCATCTTTCCACATTGGAGAGTTGCTCCAACCTCTTATTCATTTTAGCCACCCTTCTCTACAGTTTATTCCAACTCTGCAATATCTTTTGTAGGCACAGTACCCAGAAATGTCCATACTATTTTAAATGTGGACAACCATATATTTGCATAATGGGAGTATGACCTTGGCAGTTCTATTTCAATTCCCTTCTTAATTATGGAATTTGCTTTTCCCCGCTATGCTACATAATGGGACTTTCCTCAGCAATTTTATCATGCTGTCCAACCACAACCTGAAAATGGCTTGAGCAGTCACTACTGGTTCAGATGCCATCAGCCTATATGTGAAGTTGGGATATTTTGCTGCAATGTACATCACTGTACCCTTGGTTACACTGAACCACATCTGTCATTTTGATGTCCATTCTTGAAGTCTGTAGAGATCCACTTGGAACACTCCATGCTCCCTTGTTTCAACCACCCCAGATAATTGGATCCCATCAGCAGACCTGACCATTTTACTATTTATCCCCAATTCCAGATAATTTATGAATAAGTTAAAAAAGTCTTTCCCAATACAGATCCTTATGGGGCCCACTGCTTACATCCCACTATTGGAAGAATTTACCATTTATTTGTACTCTCTGCTTTATGTCTTTTAGCCAGTTATTGAACCTGTTACTTTTCATTAGTGCTTTTTTAAATAGTGTAAAACAAAACTCCATCACCAACCTATAAAACTTCTTTTCCTATTTAAAAAGGAAAAAAGGCACAAAACTGAACATTACAATTTTGTAATAAAACCTAAGAAGATCCATAGCACTAATTACATATAGATTATATATATATATCTCTGTACGTTAGTATATAACAGAACTTACTATTATTAAAAATAATGTGGAGACTTCTACAAATTTCAATATATCTATCCATTTATACATTACACTTAAAGTCCACTTATTCAAAAACTGAAAGTTTCATGAAATCTCATTATGCTATTGCATGTGGCTATTTATCTTGCCAGTGTTGTAATATTAATTTTTTAGCTGTCAAAAGGGTGTGGAAAATCCATTTACATTGAACATCTATTAAATTCCAAGAGATAGCTAGGTAATTCAAAAGAACATGTGCATCCTTAAATATTAAAGAGCTTTATATAACAACATTTATCCAAATCAATACCTTCCTTCAACAAGAAACTGGCATTGGGCATTGCCAAAACATTTGAAGAGAAGCATTAACAGAATTGCTTGGTCTGTTTATCAAACAGATGTTATGGTATTCAGTATTCTTGAAACATCATTTTTCGCTGAATTAAGCACAGCCTAAGATCCATGACCCCTTGAGAAACAGATAATAATGAAACACTCCATTGTTTTGGCAACATGGGGTGACCAATAAGTTATTCCATTCTTGGTTGGTTGGTTGGTTGGTTTATTTATTTATTTATTTTTGGATTGATATCCTGCCTTTTTCCTACAAAGGGCTCAAGGCAGCTTACATCATTCTCCTCCTCCATCTTATCCCCACAACAAGAACCCTGTGAGGTAGGTTGGGCTGAGAGTCTGTGACTGGCCCAAAGTCACCCAGTTGGCTCCATGGCTGAGCAGGGACTAGAACCCACATCGTCTGAGTCCCAGTCCCATGTTCTTAACCACTACACCACGCTGGCTGAAGCTGTAGCTGGCAACACAAGATGCAGATAAGTATTGTTAGGACTGTCAGGATCTGGGTGGTTCTGAGGCTCCATCTGATGACCAAAGCAGAACACTTAACTTAGTATTCATACGGTTGGTTCCAGGTCCTGCTGGAGCAATGAGCCTCTTGATGAGTGCCAGCTAGGAATCCTGGAGGAAGAGCTAAAAGCAAGCTCCTGCTTCCAGAATTTGCCTCAGCAAGGTCTTCCTGAAAGCTCAGTTCCTGCACCCTGCAGCATCAGGTCCCTGTTGTGCCCTGCCTTACCATATTACCTCAGCAACGCAGGGCTACCTGCAAGCTATGGTCTGGTCCAGCTCCTGGGCCATGCCTGATCTGCTTTCTGATCTGCCTTACTGCATCCAGCCTTGCTATGTTGTCTTAACAACACAGCTAATACTGTTAGCTGTGGTTGAACTCCTGCATCATGACCGATCCTTGCCATGTATCCTGCCTTACTGTATCTTGCTATGCCTTGCCTTGCCTCACCTCACTCCCTTGCTATCTAGCTTGACATGTCACACCTTTGCTGCTCCTGAACCCTGTCCACTTATCCTGCCTCACACTACCTGCACCCTGCTCTGTTTGCTTTCTTGGTTTTCAACCAATGGCTTGTGCTTGTCCACATCCTTATCTTGCCCTGATAGATGCTTCTGGTTCCTGGCCTTAGCCTGTTCTGTGACTACACCTTGGACTTGTCTATTGGACTTCACCGCGGGACTTTGGACTTGGTCTTGCCTCAGGTTCTGTTGCTCTAGTTCCAGTGCCTCTGTCTGGATTCCTGCCACCTCTGCCTTGGGCCTTGACAAGGATTGACAAGATGATCAATCAGCCTGCCTGTGCAAGTCCACAAACAAATGTTTTCTTGACAATTTTTAAATCTGGACATCCCCACAAAGTTAACAGTGCATATTAAAATGTACTGAGCTGTAACTGATGTGGAAAATAAATACCACAGCTTTTTAAATACTACAACTGGTGGAGGCACATTATCTGTTCTGGTTTGAGGAGGATTCAGTGCATTCCACTTAGTTAGGAAGATGATCCAGAAATGAAGATTCCAAAACTGACCAAAGAGAAGAATCTGTTCAAAGCGAGAAAGAAAAAAATCTAGTGCAACTGAACAAATAGACCCGATGGTGTAAGTAAAGTCAGGAAGGGCAAATTCACCCTTTTTGACTGAAAGTTATATCCTTTTCAAGGGTAGGATATCCATCATGGAGTGGAGCCCATAAGACTTTACAAAACAAAACATTAAACTTCTGGAAATATTTCCCAGGTTTAAAGAAAGGAATGTCACATAAAACATAAACAAGTCGACATACTACATTCATTTTAAGTGTTTTCACCCTACCCCATAGACTTTAAAGATAGTCATCTGTCAATGTCCCTTGTGATCTCATTAATCAATTTTCTCAAATTTAACTTAATAATTTGTGATATGTCTGTTCGGGCAAATATTCCAAGATGGATGATAGACTCAGCACAAAGGCTAAATGCCAATTAGATAACACACCATTCTCTGATAACACACCTGTATTATCTCCAATATACTTAAGTTCTGACTTTGGCCAGTTGATCAAATGGCCAGATATATATCCAAAATCATTAATTATCTGCATCAAAGTCAACTTCTTTCTCCTTAAAAGGTGGAACTTGGAGGAGAAGAGCTCTTAATAAATATATACTGGTTTCCAGGAAGACTCCCTTGCAAGCTTAACCAGATGCAGAAGGAACCTCCTGGAGAACAGTGAGGCCAACAGCTCTTTAAGAAGCTACTGATTTGATTAGAGAACCAAAGCTTTGCACTAAGACTAGTTATTAAAAATAGTTTCACCAGCAAAAAACCCATTCAGTTTCCAGCTGAAATCCTTTTGAGGACTTCTGGCATTTATCTGTCAATGGTGGTTATCGTGCCAGTGGTAAACACTACAGTATCCCTTAGAAACTCTTACTTGCTTAATCTGTCAAGCAAACATGTCTCTTTGCTTTAGTCCACCCAGCATGTTTATTGTTGCTGCAAGTGTGAGATCAAACTATAAGAAGCAAGTGAGGAGGAGTTGCAGTCTCGACACATCAGAGGAAAGTACAGTGAAGGGAGCTGGCAGGATGAGTGGACAAGTGCTAAGAGGAATAGAGAGCTGTCTAAATGGCCACTAGGAATGCAGGGAGAAAACCAAACTGGGAGGCCACTCAGTTGAAGGTTTATTTACTTCATATTAGTGTTTCTAGGCCACTTTTTATTTATTTGTTTTATTTATTTTTCGATTTATACCCTGCCTTTTTCCTACAAAGGGCTCAAGGCAGCTTACATCATTCTCCTCCATCTTATCCCCACAACAACAACAGCCCTGTGAGGTAGGTTGGGCTGAGAGTCTGTGACTGGCCCAAAGTCACCCAGTTGGCTCCATGGCTGCGCAGGGACTAGAACCCAGATCATCTGAGTCCCAGTCCCATGCTCTTAACCACTACACCACACTGGCTCTCCTTTTCTGCTTATAAGAAGCTAATAATTAAAATAAAATATAAAACCAATAGCAGTACAAAATGAAGCTAGAGAAATAGGAAATTCCCCAGTGTTGGAAGGGTGGATTTAGTTAATAGTTGAAGGAATTCAAGAGCCTATTGTTTGTGTGTAGAAGGAGGACACAGTAACCTGAGAATGGGGAAGCCCAAAGCTCTGCAAATAAGCATGGATCATTCTTTCTTTTTTAATGCTCCATCTATTTATTCATTCTTTTATTGGATCTACATCCTGCTTTTTCCTTACAACAAACTCAAAGCAGCTTACATAATTCTCTTCCACCTCTCAATCTTATCCCCATAACAACAGCCCTGTGAGGTAGGTTGGGCTGAGAGTTTGTGTCTAGATCCCAGATCGCCTGAGTCCCAGTCCTTACTATTAACCACTACACCACACTGGTTCTCTCTATATGGGCAGGAGAACAGTCATTTTCTATATTCTATAATTACTTTTAAAACAATACATTTCCCTAAATCATATTTCTACTTCTCTGAGCAAAAAGACTGCTCAAGTAAGTTTCTTATGATCTAAAAATCCAGAAAATGTTCTTTATTATTTATACATTCATTTCATTTTTACACCACCCCAATAACCCTTTGGGCTCCTTGGGAAGCATGTTCCAAAGATGAGTAGCAACTGCTGAGAAGACCCTTCTCTTGGTTACCCGCCCCCACCCCCTTACTTCTTTTAGGGATGGTTCCCTGAGAAGGATTTCCTTGGATGATCTTAGGGTCCAGGTAGGAACACATGGAGAAAGACGTTCCTTCAAATAAACTGGCCCCAAACTGTTTAGGGCTTTAAAGGTTAACAGCAGCACCTTGAATTGAGTCTGGACTTCCACAGGCAGCCATTGCAGTTGAAAAAGGTCCGGCATGATGTAGCCTCATGATCCAGTACTCCTTGATAGCCATGCTTCTCTGTTCTGAACCAGAATAGTCTGTTTCCAGACTATTTTCAAAGGCAGCCCCCCACAGAGCATGTGACAGTAATCCAAATAAGAGGTTACCAGAGCATGGGACTCAGTCGAATATATGCAGGCTGACGCTTTATTTCTGACACAATGTCTGGCATTTTTGAGGCTAAAGTGGGCCAGGGAAAAATAATAGAAAGGAAACACTATGGATAAGAAGGGGAAAGGAATGAGAAGGAAGACAAAGTTGGCTGGGGGTGGGGGCACCTCTGCCTAGCTTTAAGCCATGTTTTATTCTTCCTGGTTCATTCCCAGCACCAGGGCCAGCCTGGAAGAAGCTGGTTAGAAGTTACAGGGTGTGGGGAAGGAAGGTGACGAGCAGGGTGGGATTAGCTGGGAACTGTGTTCAACATACATACAATTGTACTGCATGTCCAGTTTGGCTGTTCAGACATGCCTTCTTTGCAGTGCCAGCTAAGATTCACTGAGACACAATGAAGGGCGGGATATAAACCCTTTAAATAAATAAATAAGATGCTACTGTAAATTCCTGTAGCAAATAATTATGATGTGCAATGATTCACTACAAGCAGGTTTTATTCAGCACACAGAAATAGCTTGAAGCACAAAATATTTCACTGCAAATTAAATGTTTGGCCATTTTCTATGTACAAATCATTATTGATGAATGATATCAAAAATGCCATAAATATATCCACGAGGATTTCTTTTTATGGATGAAGGTGACTTTCTCTGTACAATAATTTCCCCCAGTAAAATAGACATACCCTCCCTGCTTTCCAACTTCAATCTACTAATCCAAAGCATTGCACCAGTTTCTTAGTACTCTTCAGTATGAATTATTGCATATCATTTTATTAAACTTATGAGGAAAAGATTTTGCAATTAAGACCACAATCCACTTAAGGCTAAGTATTACTTATAACTAGTCTTACTCTTTCTGAACCTGAGATTTAGCATCTGTTTCATTCCATACCAGTAAAAAATCTTGCATACTTTTTCACAAGCATATGTAGCTCTTGTTTTTGGCATAGAGCAGTGATGGCGAACCTTTTAGAGACTGAGTGCCCAAACTGCAACCCAAAGCCACTTATTTTATGCAAAGTGCCAACACTACAATAAAACCTGAAACCAGAGGTTTTAGTTTAGAAAAAACAACTCACAGCCAGTCCAAGCAAATATATATATATCCTTGGCAGTGCACTGACCGGCCATGCCAAACCTCGGATGAATAGCAGCTACTGAGTTGTGGACTGTGACATCATCGCCAGGCACTGTGACTCCTTTCCGAGTATGTGCATGGCCCCCTTGATGGCTGTTCCCTGATCCTCAGCCGCTGGGGTGATGCAGGGGTGACTTGGCTCACATGCTGACACAGAGGGCTCTGCATGCCTCCTGTGGCAAAAGTGCCATGGATTCACCACCACTGACCTTACCGTACTCTACTGCACGCCCCTAACCCTAATATGTGGCTAAAATACCATTGAAAAGAGAGAGATTTTGAACCCTTTTGAACCCTAACCCTAACCCGGTGCACACGCCTAACCCTAACAGAGGGCGAAAGTTGCATTGAAAAGAGGTTGATTATGAAAGAGCCTTCCTTGAGCAGCTTTTTCTGCACAGCTCATCATTTCTGCCCATTGTAAACACATTCCAACCATCAAAATCATGCCAGGATGTCTTCTTTTTCTAACCCTAACCCTAACCCGGTGCACACGCCTAACCCTAATAGAGGGCGAAAGTTGCATTGAAAAGAGGGGGATTTTGAAAAAGCCTTCCTTGAGTAGCTTTTTCTGCACAGCTCATCATTTAGGCCCATTCTAAACACATACCAACCATCAAAATCAAGCCAGGATGCCTCCTTTTTCTAACCCTAACCCTACCTTGGTGCATAGCCCTAACCCTAATATAGGGGTAACATACCATTGAAAGGGCAGATTTTGAAAAAGCCTTCCTTGAGTAGCTTTTTCTGCACAGAATGTGCCCATTCTGAACACATTTCAACCATCAAAATCATGCCAGGACACCTCGTTTTTGCAACCCTAACCCTAACCTGGTGCACAACCCTAACCTTATTATAGAACAAAAGTTCCATTGAAAAGAGGGTGAATTTGAAAAAGTCTTCCTTGAGTAGCTTTTCCTGCACTGCTCATCATTGCTGCCCATTCTAAACACATTCAAACCCTCAAAATCATGCCTGGATGCTTTCTTTTTCTAACCCTAACCTAGTGATGGTGAACCTTTTAGAGACCAAGTGCCCAAACTGCAACCCAAAACCCACTTATTCATTGCAAAGTGCCAACACTGTAATAAAAACTGAAATCAATCAGTCCATGCTAATCTATATATATCCTTGGTAGCGCACTGACCAGCCATGCGAAAGCTCAGATGAGTCGCAGCTAATGTGTTGCAGCTTGGTCATCATTGCCTGGCACCATTACTACTTTCCAAGCATGCACATGACCCCTATGTGCGCTGTTATCTGATGCTTGGCTGCTGGGGCAATGCTGGGGCGACTTGGCTCGTATGCTGGCACACAGGGGCTCTGTGCGCCTGCTGTGGCACGCGTGCCATAGGTTTGCCACCACTGGACTAGAGCAATTTCCTCTTTGTAGCATTTCTTTCTCAGATGTTAGGTGAGCAAGCTTGCGAGCACAGTTCTTGATTCTGTATACAGCAGGGTTGGAGGAGGCATTTTTCATTCAAGTAGCTCTAGTGAGTTTTTGTTAGAAGAGAGATGATAAGGAACACTGAATATTTATTAGCCCAAAGTCATCAAAAATGCCAATAGTTGTATAGCCATTATTCAGAGGAATTTTTTGCTGACTATGACTATATTAAAAGATACTCTTTTAATATATGTACATATTCTTCTTTTAGATGGACTTAATTTATCTGTGCTTTTATCTGTGAACCACCTCAAGGTAGGGATTGGACCCATTCCCCTTATAAAAAGAGCATTTAAATTTGTGGATTCAGATTCTGAGCCAGGTAAAGAGGTGGGACCAGAATCTGCAGCTGAAATGTTAAGGCAGACAAGGCAGGCCATTGGTGAGCATCAGATAGTTTCAAACTCTGTACAGTTTCAAACTGTAGAAAAGTTTCATGAGGGAGCTGATAAGGAAAGACAGCTAGCATCACTAATCTGTGGATACAGTATCCGGTTAAGAGGGCAGGGCAGTTGAGGAGGCTCAGATGCTCAAAACAACTGGCCCTTAAGCAGGACTACCCACCTTGACAGTGTTGTTTGCTTTTCTCAGTTTTACAAAGGAAGAGTAATATTCAGTTTCGAATCAGCTTATCAATAGGCTGCATTTCTCTAACAGCCGGCTTTCTAACTTTGTTTGATTCTTTTGCTATTAACATCTGCAATTCCCTTCCTTTTGTACTACAAAGCCAGTCTAGCTGGTCACCTAAGTCAGAAAACCTTTGCCCTAGTCTGCTTAGAAGAGGAGGAGAAACACCACCATGACACAGAGAACTTCAGCTATTGGTTGATACAGAAATGAAATGAAACAAATGCAAGGCTTATACCAAAATCAACCTAGAGCTCAAACATGAAGCAGCAGTACACAGGAAAGATAGCTAGCATCATCTAGATATGGTACATACCTTTTTTGGTTTGTTGGTCATCGCAGCTTTCAAATGTGCATGGTCCCCAAGCTGACCAGGCGGACACCTCACACTCTATGGGACACGGGATATGGCACAACTGGGTTGTGCTAGGAATAGAACCTGTGCACAGTTTCCAGTCCACAGGTTTGGATGCTATCGGGAGGAAAAAGACATAATTTTTGCTTGTTTACACATAGGAGAAGCGCTACTGAAAAATCAATACCATTCCCCATCCTCCCCCCTCCCACTAAAAGGCATTCTCGTTTCTTTAATCCGATGAGGTGATGTCAAAATAACAGTCTTGAAAGCAGCTCCGTCTTTTCAGCCATTGAAGCTTTCTGGCCATTGAAGCTTTCCGTACCTCTTAACTAGTGAAAATTGGCAGCAAAGCAGCAGTTCCCTGCTGGGGTCACTCCCACCCCACAGAATTCCACAGGGCAGTGGCAACAGGAGTGGCTTGTGGGGCAGGGGAGGCAGTGAATGGAGCTCCTAAAGTTGCACAGCCCTGCCACACAGATACATTTCTCCAGATACATTTATGCACAGAGACTGGGAGCAGAGGGTGCCCAAGAGAGATTCCCTGCTTTGGGGGCAAGGAGAACATATAATGCAAACCAGAGGGGTTCCGCAACATAAGAAAGTACATAAGAGTGGTACCTTGGCTCATGAACTTAATCTGTTCCAGGGCTCTGGTTGTGACCCAAAATAGTTGTGAGCCAAGTTAAATTTCCCCATAATGTTCAATGTAAATAAGGCTAATGCGTACTGTAACTATTTTTTTTAATCAGAAAAATATGAAGCAAAGTGACAGAGAACAACAAAGATCACAGCCATCTCCCTGCCCCCACAGCACGACCAAGATTGCGCCTCTCATTCCTGCATGTGCCTGTCATCCCGGCGTGCTGGGTGGAGGGGAGATGGCATGATTGCGGGCATGCTGCGGAAGGGAGATGGGTGTGATCGTGCTGGGGGGGAGATGGCTGAGATCATGGTTGTGCTCCTGCAGGAACGACGGGTGCAATCACAGGCGCGCTCCTGCAGGAAAGACAGGCACGATCTTGGCCATCTACACCCACCCCCAGCACGATCATAGCCAGGCAAAGACCTTTTTATTCAAACGTCATTTTAACTGTTAATACTATTTATTTATTTTATTCTTCGGCCAGGGCGACTTATTTTATTTTATATTGTTAACTAGTTTATATTTTATTGTATTATATTTTAATTGATATCTTTGTGAGCCGCCGCGAATGGGGAGGCATAGAAATTTTCTAAATAAAAATAAATAAATAAATAAATAAATCTTCCCATTTGGGGTGGGGAGACAGCCACGATCACGGTAGCCACCCAATGTGGAGTTCATGACCTGAGTTAAAATTTTTATGAAATTTTTGTTCGCGACCCAATGTGGTCATGAACCAAAGTGTTTGTGAGCCGAGGGACCACTGTGCCTGCTGGATCTTTCTCCAGTAACCAGCTCGATGCCCTTTGGAAGCTCAGAAATGGCTCGTAAATACTGAGAAGGCTAACCCAGGGATGCGTGTTTCCAGCATCAACAATCAGAACTATACGACCTCTCAACACTGAGGTTCCACGTCTTCATTCCTGACTGCTGTGTGCTGAAGTGATATCTCTAGCCAAAACTAATGAGAAGGATCATGTGCCCACATATCTCCATAATATCACATTTCTGGAAGGGGACCACCTAGCTGAGGACAGCAGCATTGTCATCTGCCAAGAAAACTACTCTAGAATCAAGGCTGTGAGGAGCTTCATGATATTTGAGTGAAATTGCTTTCCTGCTACCTGAACTATTAAGGTTTTTAAACTATTGAAACATTTTATATGATACAGGAAATTAAGCTCACTGAGAATTGCTGGTCTGAGCCTATGATTAAGTGTACTCTGATAAAGAAATTCCCCATATACTCATCTTGAGCTATCAATGTTGAAGTTAAATTATTATGTTCTTTTATTATTCTTTTTAATACCTTGAAATTTTAGAGTGAAAGAACTGTTTTATAGAGCTGTGTGTATTCTGTACAGCCAAAATAGTTACTTCAAAATGGAGAGTGAGTCCTGAGCATGTTTCATCAGAAACTTCAGGTTGAAGGCCTGCATTACATACCTGTTATTTCAAAAGTGATGGATAGAAGTGGTGCAGCACTAGCCTTCGATGTACTCTGTGACTGACTTTCTGGAATAACATGGATAAACACTGCCATGAATACAAGAGATTGGAGGGTCCTGACACAGCCTAAGACATGATTAGCTACCCTGAATGCAAGCACAGGATTCTTGAAGGCCACAGTGTTAAATTTTCCTTTGTATTGCTGCCTTTCCCTAGTTTAACCACCATCCTTCTAAACATATGCTTTCTTCCTCTTCCCATTACATATAGGAATGTCGTTATAATTCTCACCTGCAATGACCTCTTGCCCCCTATGGCTTTATAAACTAAAGTTCAATTTTTCCCTTTTAACTTGTTGAAGGCCTAGATAAATTGTATGTGTATATATTCATCTAATGACTGGTCATATCTTACCCTGCTTTATTGTGCCAACAGAGTTTAATATTCAATAGGTTCTGCTTTTCTTATCACATTCCAATAAGTACAGATTTCATTCCAATGAAAGATGTGACAGATTAAAACCTGGTTGGAAATATGGACCTGTTGCTGAATATCCTTATCAATGTCTTTCTGGTACACAAGAGCTATGGTCGTTACCCCAGTGGCACAAGCTTTCTGGTTTCTTCATGAAATGATTGGTTCTGTGTTAAGCAAAGTATTAATTCCATAATCATTGGATAGAAATGTGCACCTCTTTCAAAGGCCTTAACAGAATGCACATTGCTTTGATCCAGATAAATGGATCACAACTGGCATTTAACAATCTAGTTTTCTGAAGTTATACATCCCTGTATAAAGAATCACATGTGCCAGAGCCATGCTGTGGGTCTTAGAGCATCATTCATATTATGGTGAAACAAGTCAAGGACACCTCTTTTCCTAGAGTATGTGGCTGTATTTCTTTTGAAGTCAGCCTAATGCCAAAATATGTTGTGTTGCTATTTCAAGTCATTCTAATTTGTGGGTTAGATAATTTATTGAAATTTATTTTTCTTTTATTTATTATTTTAAAGTTCCAGAGAGAAGGTATACCATACCATCTCATCACATCACTTACTGAAGACCATTTTACCTTTTCTAAGTACTATGCACTGGGAGGTTCTCTTCTGTGAACCCCATGGAAAATGGTAAGGGCAGAACAACAGCAGGTTGTCAAAAGAACATGCAATCTTGTACAGTTCTTGTTCTGACAGAAAGGAAGGGTACATTTGTTCTTAAACCTAGATTTATAGAGATCTACCTGATAGAATACTGCTTCCATATCATGAAGGTCCATGCAAGGCCAAACTATAATTAAAACTGATAAAATGTGTTTGCAATGTAAAGGTATAGAAGGCATGTGAATCAGGACAACAGAATCTTGCACACTAGCCACATTAAATGGGAAGAAAAAATATTTTAAAGGTATTTAGCGATATGGGGTTTTAGAGAGAATACTAAGGGAATGTGGGTTTTGGTCTAACAAAGATTAAAAGAATGAAGAACTATGAATTACTTCTGAAACACAAAATGTTTTCCTTTCTGCTGGTCCCAACAGTATTACTGGAATTCACTCTGAGATAACAGGTGCATCCATTAGGCCAGAAGGAAGGAAGGAAGAGAAAGAGAAAGAGAAAAAGTGATACCTTACGTGCTGCAAATGTGTACTTTTCCAGATTCCATTCCCAAAAACTCTAGTTAAAGCTGGGTTGGGGAACGTGTGTTGCTCCAGACAGAGGAGACTGGTGTCTCCAATGTCAGTGTGGTGCTAAAGCCTTCCAGAGCATTAGTCTGAACATTACAGGAGCTATCTATGCTGCTGACATATGGCTTTGAATGTAGGCTCAACAGCATGGGTAGCTCCCTAAAACTTCAGATTATGAACTCTAAGTATGACCCAAAATGGATACACTGCAACACTGAAAGTGGGGACACCAGCTATTGTGACAATTGCTCTTGGTCTACGTTCTCAAGATCTACTGATTGGAATTCAGAGGAAGAGGAGGAAGGGGCCTTGGAATGTAGGCCAGTTCCACTGAGATGAGAGAAGTGAGATGCTTATCTCAAGGCCAGACTCCCTAGGAGCATAGGCCGCCTCTGAGAATAAGCAAGGTGTACAGTTAACAAGAGGGGGCTTGGAACAGGGGAGTCTCCCAGGGCAGGTATAGCCTTTAACTTCAGGACTTAATGTCAGCAGAGGAGGTTAGCTCAGTTAGAGGACTGGTGTACAGACAGGAGATGTGCTCATTTCCAAAAGGATGGAGCCCAAACATACTCATAAGGAGAGTTCCTAGAAGTAAATACTAGATTGGGTTCAATGAACCTCTCTGTGCATGCTTAGAGATTCCTTCTAAGTGTTTGTGCTTCTGGAAAAAGCTTTGGTCAATAAAGAATGTTTTGCAAGTAAGGTATGCGGTTTTGGTTGTGCAAAGGGAGGAATCTTAGCTCATGACCCCAGCCTCCACTGCCTCCACTTCCATCAACCCTAACAGCATAGTGAATGGATCTCAGCTGGCAAGTTTTGGAAAGGTCTCTAACTGAACTCCTGAAAACATTGTATTAAAAGATGTGCATTTCCATCCACTGGATACATGGATTATTTATTTATTTAAAGTTTTCGTATGCCGTCCCCTTGCCACATAGTCTCGGGATGGCTCACATATTTCTATCCTGCCCATAGCCGAAGCTCTCCGGGTGGTTTACAAAGGCAGCCGTGGCGGAAACGTGTGCAAGGGCCAACCCTCCGCCCATGAACTCTGGATTGTGCCCCTTCTGACTCCCTCCAGATGTACTTGATTGCAGCAGATAGGAAAAACACAAGATTAGGTGGGTATTAAGAGGTAAATAGTTAGCCTTTAATTTCCATTTGAGAAATAACTGCAAACTACGAGATGATGTTGAACACAATTAAGATGAATAAGAATAAATATGTCAACGTCTCTTTCAGTTGTTGGAGATCCCATATACTTCAAATCTTTACAAAAATGAAATTCAAATCTTTACAAGTTCCCATGAATTCTACAGCTTAAAAATATTTATATCCTATAAAGGAAATACGATCTTAAAAGAACGGGAAAAAGAGACTTAGGAAAGTTAGGTTTCATGCTAATCCATTTGTCAGTGATTCAAACATACCTTCCTTTTCTTTGAGAGTATTTAAATAGGAGAGGAGATTTTCATTAGCTTGCACACAGTATACCTCCCGAGTCTGAATGCCACCTCCGCAAAGAGCAGTTTGATTTCCTCGTCGCTTATCCTGTTGACTAAGTAAAGGGTCAATGCGACATTCTGTCCACTCAGTGGTTCTCCAGCCATACCTAAGTCAAAGAAATAGTCAATTGACAAACTAGACATTTAAAAACACAGTAAGGTCATAAGCATAATTACCTAGTCTTTTTTCCTACATTATTAGTAGAAGGTACAACTTAAAATATAATGGGTTGTATCCAGAATAAGCTAGGTGAACCCAGATCCCATTAGAATCCCACTGATTTCAATGGTGACTCCATCTAACTAACAATAGTATCCTATGCATGCCTACTCAGAAGCAATCCCCATTTACTTCAAAGGGACTTACTCTTGGGTTTATAACACTTCAGCCTAAGGATGCACACTTGCCAGACACCAATCCACTGAATTGCATGGAGATTAGTTCTGAATAAATATTTATACAATTGCACTGTCAGGATTCAGCTGAACAATTTCTTGCATTTTGGGGAGATGTTTTATTTACACTAAATCAGGGATCATTATTAAAAGGATAAGCTTTTTAAAATTCTTATTATTTTTGCAATTTGAAAGAATGTTGCCTGGAATGAAGCTAAATTGGGCATCTGGGTAACATTAGCATCAACGTCATAATTTGAAGTTGAAATAATACCATAAAAACCACAAAGAAATCTTAAATGTTCCTCTTTTTTTTTTTTGCAAAGATTAAGAGGTGCATGGAAAACATAGAAATTTTCTTCGGTAAGTAACCTTGATAATACTCCTTTCCTAAACACCCTCATCTTCCTTTTTCTTGTAGAAATTATGTTGGCTTAGCCAGAATGCTCAGACCCCCCTGCTGAGCAAAGATCTGTGATAAGAAGCCCTGTGTTTTCCAATGCAGAGTAAGAAGACCTGTGATTCCAAGTAAAATCTCAATCAGCCTTATGAAGTGAAAGAAATGTCACAAGAAGCTCTACTCCAGGAGCGGTTTAAGCTGATATCAAAGGAACTATTCCAACAAGCCACTGGAGATGGAGAACAATATTTCTGTTCTCCTAGGAAAAATGACAGTGTCCTATGATCACACTCAGAGTGCAAAAATAACCTCAGACATGGTATCTCTAAGGCTTCAATCCTATACACAACAGTCTTGGAGTAAATCCTAGTGAGTTTAATGGGATATACTTTGAAGTAGACGTGCTTTGTTCCGCTAATTGCTATTTTCCTTCCAGGGCAATAAAGGCAAGAAAAAGGAGTAGAAAGTAGAAACCCAAACACTGTGTTGTGCTTCTGTGTTAATATTAATCTCAATTGAAAGTTGTGGAATTAAGAAAACAGTTGACTCTGATCTACTTACCACTATGTCTTCTGCACTCTAAGCAGGACTAATTAATTTACTGTTGCGTTAATATTTTTTATCCTGCTTTTGCAGTTGCTAAAGATACCAAGAAGCTTAAGGAATATTTATCATCCTTGTACACAGATCTTGGCTTGTATCTTTCTGTGCCCAAAGAACTTCAGGGGCTGAGATCCTGCTATAAATTCTTCTGCGGAAGACACAACCTTTGCCTAACAACTTCACTGCTATGTTCCAAGTTACATCACCAGTTTGTTGACATGAATATTAGCATGCAATCAATAAGGCCACTATCTCCTCCCTTGAACCCATGTCTTGAAAAATAGGGCATTTCATTTTGCGATATGACCTAATTACCAGTATAATAGGTACACAACAGGATCGACTGAGCTCTTGTGATGTCAGCAGATGCCTATCCTGTCCTGTCTGTCAACTTCCATGTCACTCACTGTTTGAAACAGGATGTTCGGTACTTTGGACTTCAGTCTAGTGTACAAATGTTATATTTTTAGATGCCTCCACAACAATAACTTCATGGCATTACTCCAAGGATTTAAACTTAACTGTAGCTTGCAGAACTCTTCCGCCATTCGTCACAACTGGAAATACACTATGACCTCAGACTGCGTTTGAAAGCCTATTCTTTTGGGCGCTGTTCATACATACACTAAGGAAGTGCTGGGGCCCTGATAAATGACTATGCTGATAATGTGGTACTATTTTCTTTCCAAGTCTCACACACAAGACTTATTAAGTGACAGACATGAATGTGCCTTTCTTCCCTTTAGACTAAAGGTGCGTTGTTTTGAAGAAAGGTGGGGATGCCTATTTATTGGAAACTCACTTGATTTGATTAATTGATTGATTGATTGATTATAGTTGTATTCCGCATCACTAGCCCCATAGGATACTTTCCCAGGGTTTCTCTAGGGCAGGGGTTCTCAAACCTTTTGAACAGGGGGCCAGTTGAAAGGTGCCAGCGATGGGCGCAGGCTGCCAAGGCGGTGCAGGCAGGGGGGCACGGGCCGAGGGGCACATGCATGGCAAGGCAGGGGTGTGTGTGCGCAGAGATCATTCTCTCCAAACCATCTCCTTGTGAGCAAGCCAGCGCCTCGACCTGCATAAGGCAAGCTGCCAGCTTGCTCGCAAGGAGATTGTTTTGGACTCGCTTGGAGATGAAACGCTCTCCTTGCGAGCAAGCCGGCACCTTGCCATGGTGTGCGCGCATGTGCGTGGTGAGCTATGGTGGGCCGGATCCAGCCTGCGGGCCATAGTTTGAGGACCCATGCTCCTGGGGGTTTTGTTTTTGTTTTTGCAGTTTCCTAGTGGAATGGATGTTCCTGGAGGGGGGACCTTTTCCAGCCCAAGGGCCCTACTGCCACCGAGGAAACCTTCTGAGAGCTGCTACCAGTGGGTGAAGCCAGAACCCAAGTGGGTGAGGATACCTCACTCTGTTCCTCTTGCAAACATGTGCACATAGTATTCACCTATACACGGCCCATTCATACACAACCATGTACCCATACACATGCCACTGCTATAGTGGAAAATTTTGAAATGTGGGCATGCATCATGACAGCTCCCACAGAAGTTCCCCAAAAAGTTTGGGCAGCGCTGCTGATCTTTAGCAACGAATCAGTTCTAGCAATCTTCATCTCCACCAGGAGCTGGTCTTTTATGAAGCTAATGGATCTTCATTGCCCATTCAAGACCAAGCTTCCCTAGAATACTTTGCATTACAAGGAGGAAAGATCTTGTGAGGAAAACAAGGAAGCTGGTGGGAGGGGCTGTTGCTGGTCATATCAGCATCCCTGTTAATAAAGAAACTGCTAGATCTGCATCCCTGCAACCCTTGGTTCCACCACACCACTGACCTGTAGAGAAAAGCACATAAGCATGCCCAACACGGAGCACAGAGTGTGTAAGAGCCACAACTTGGAGGTGTCTGAAGCGCCTAAAAGCAACGGCTTCCAAGGAAGCAGGCTCTATGTGCCCCTTGCCTTTTCCAGTGGGAAAAACAAAGAGGCCTCTGGAGCTTCTTGGGTAGGGCTCAACAGAGGCCCCATGAACCAAGTAGGAAGGGTTGCCCATCCCTGCCATTTTGGTGGGGGTGGAGGTGGGGAATGGTCACAGATCTTCACCACAAGAAGCAGTTTTTGACATCAAAAAAGAAAGAAAAGAACCACAGTAAACAACCTTAAGTGCTGTCTTTCTTGGTGTCCAAGGCAAACATAATTGTTTTGCCACCTCTGAATATTGATAGAATCCCTACAACCAATGAACAAGGTGGAAACTTCAGAAAAGTACAATTCTGAACAACTGAGATAATTGCTATTGTGTAGCTCATCTGGTGCCAACATTGTAATCTTTCCAACATCAAGGTAAGCCTGCCCTCTCCTCCAAGCATTTTGTAGCATATGATGGGATTTGTCAGCTAATTCAACAGAACTAGTTTTTATTGAAATTGTTTTAGTTCTGTTTAGGCTGTTTTAAATTTGTTGTGTTGGAATTTCATGTTGCATTTTATTGTATTTATATTCTATTATTCTAATTTGGATAGTACTATTATCTTTTTTATTATTTTACTTGTGATATGAATTGCTGTGAACTGCCTGGAAGTTTCAGCTATTAGGCAGTGCAGAAATGAAACAACAGTAATGAAATAATGACAATGACAAGAACAACAACAACCCATCCATTCAGCCTATATATTCACGTTCTTTTTTCCTGATTAAATTATCTTGAGTGACATAGATTTGTGACTTTTTTTCTGAATTAATATCGTACACTCCTCCCAGCAGAAAACTGGGAAATAGCTTCATACAAACACAACTAAGTCCTGCCACATATTAGTCTGAACTAAGGCCCAGAACATTTTAGTCTCATGGCACAGAAGCTGCAGTAGCAGTCACAATTCTTCCTGAACCACGGGATAATGTGAGAAGCCAAGGGCTGCACAGGAAGACCTCATGGGGTGGCTCCAACACAGTGCTGTTGCTAACCATCCAGTAATAGTGGGCTCCTCCCATTCTCTAGTTACTTTAAAGGAAACCCCGGGCTTCTCACTTCACCCTGACAGTAGTGGAAGTGGCACGAAGGGTGGGCCTACCAGATGCTGAAGATCTAGCAGTGTGTTCATACTTACGTGATACATGGAGCCACGCCATCTCCTTGAGACATGCACTCCTCTGTTTCTTCTAGCTCTGGACACTCATTTTCACTGCCAATAGGAAACTGCTTAATGATCCGTGTTCTTGTACGATTACCTTTAGGGGATGTCATATCAAAACATGTTTTGGAACATGGGCTCCATTCTGACCATTCTGACACCTGGCATTCTTTTGGGATCACACAAGACTGGAACGTAATTGGCAACTTCTCTTGTTCACAAAAGCTGGAAAAGAGCATTAGGATACTCAGATAATGAATCTGCTTATACATTCCTAAGACTAGATTAAGTCCATTGCACCATGGTTTGTCCATACTTAGTAAAATACCTCTTCTGAGAAGCAGAGATTACTTCATGCATCAGTTATCCCACACTTCATTTTGTAATCCTAACTGAATAGAAGTTTGATGAGAAAAATCAGTTCTTCTATCTCAACTTGCAAGCTACTCATTTGTTAATATATTTGATAATGTGGTTTGGCTCCAGTAAGAATGATTGTGTTAAGTATCCTTTTAGTTAGATGACAGAAATGAAGGACAACTAATTGTACTTATTGGTAACATTAAAATTGCTAAGTAGTAAATTGAGAAGTTGACAAGTTAAACAATTAAAATATTTGAATCCATATAGTATGACAGTATATAGCAAACATGTTGTGTTCTTTATATTTGACTTGCATATTATCTCATTTTGTTATTCAGGCTGGAAGTTCCAGCATATACATTTTAATTAAACAAATGAATATAAAGATAATGAATCTCATATATGGAGAGAGGAAGATTTAAAAATAACACTAAGAAGTTATACAGTGACATGTTTTTATCTATATTTTAGGTGCAATTAATTGGTTAATATATGCACACAGCTTACAATTCTATTATACTACCTTCATGTGAGAAATCACTAATTAACAGTTTGATTAAAAATCAAGCTAATGTCTTTGCCTATGGTATAAAAGATGTGTTATATGGCAATCTCATCCCCCTTCCATCTCTCTACATTCAGGGTTGAAGCTTCTTCAGCCCATCCCTTTCAAGTGGGTGTTTGAATAAGTATAAATCCCTACTCTGCAAGGGAGGCTCCTATTTGTCCCCAGTACAGCAGGAAGAAGAGAAGAGAGGGGCTAATGATGCTTACGACCCCATCCCCCTCCATATCTCCATTCCTCTGCTCCTTCACTGAACCTAGACTGTAAGCCCCTCAGGGGAGGGACTTGTCATTCCCATTCTTCATAATGAACCTTGTACATAATGCACCTTATAAGCAGAAAGAAATACCAGTAGGCTAGTAGCATGCTGTGTGACTGGTGGTGATGTTGACTCCACCCTTGTCTGAACAACACTAATTACCTGAGGGTGGAATTGTGAAGGTGGATCTGAGTGGAGACCACACCATTGTGGTCCATGAGTTGAAAGGGACCCCTGTTTTGGCAAGCTCTAGCACTTACTTTTGGTCTTACCCACTAATCGCTTTAGAAAACATTAATACCCTTGCTTTCTGAGGACTTTGGTCAGCTTTCAATGAACAGGAAAGGAAAGGAATTTTATAAAGACTTGTGCCTGGCAATGAATCTTTGTACGATGGATCTTTGCATAGACTGGGAGACAGCAGAGAGTGGAGCTTTTGCAGACCCTCCTTAACAGATCTTAGGGTTTCAGCACAGTGGCCAGTGCAGAACAAGGACTGCTCCTAAGGCTGTTCCTTTAGACGGCACAAGTTGGAACACAAGAAGCTGCCTTGTATGGAATCAGATCCTCTGTCCATTTAGTTCCATATTGTCAGCTCTGAATGGCAGCATGCACGCACACAGATTATGCACACTCAGAGCCAAGGCTTCATGCTGGAGTTTTTCAAGTCTTACTTGGAGATGCTGAGAATGAGCCAGGAACCTTCTGCATGCAAAGCATGTGCTGCTGCCACCTAACCTTTCCTGAGTTGCCCAATCAGTGGGCTGGGTGTTCCTTGGGCCATTCACAACATTGCAGGACCACTGCCTCCTTTGGACCAAATTAGATGGAAGCTATAGGTAGGTAAACTTTTATCATCAGGCGACACATCCCCTTGTGGGTAATGAATGGCGATGGGTGAGGAGGAAGCCGGCAATGGGTAGTGCCACGGCCAGAAGTGGGCAGTCACCCCCCTTCTTCTAGCACTCTCCTTCTTCCTTAATCTGTGTGCTGCCAGAGAAGGGACAGATTACTTTTCCTAGAGGTCTCAGCTTTTGAAATTAGACTGAGAACAACAGGCTGTCCACCTCTGCTGTAAGCAATAAAGGGCTGCCCCGTTCTTCCAGTGCTCCCTCCCATTTCCTAGCCATTACACACACTATTATGCTTCATTGCTGCAAGTGTAACCTACATGGAGGCCTATTGGGAACTGCACAAAATGCTACCTTTCAAACTCCATCTACTTCAAGAGACTGGGGGAAAAAAACATTATTCACCTGCTGAAACTGAGATGCAGGTGGAAATAGAAAAGCATAATAGGCACAGCATAATCGCCACCATACGAACAGTACCACGTGGTTCTGCCTTTTTCACATAAGCATATCCCATGGCTCAAGGTTACCAGGAGCTGCAACGACAGCTTCCTTGTGCAGTCAGGACTGGAGAAATCTCTACTGATAAGTGCATCATTTTATATATACAGCTAGCTATATGTAACCCAAACAACAGAGATTCATAGAGCAGCTTTCCACAAACTGATCTCCTCCAGATGCTTTGGAACATTTATTGCAGATTTAAATAAAGTCTACAAACATAATTAGTAACTATCTGCTCAGATAATTTTTCTTTATATTTATGTATGTATGCATTGCTGCTGAATAGGCTAATAACAAACATAAAGGATTAAGTCTCTTCAAATATACCAGGACTCACTTCAAAGTAAACTAAAATAGGACCTACTATATGCTATCCTAACCTTTTATGTTTGTAAAATATTGGAATATGTAGCCATAAAAGCCAGGAATATATTAAGTGCTGTGTCTTGTTCCATCATTTGCTTTGGTTTAAAGCAGTCAACACTGGACTGTTGGCACTAATTGCAAGTGGCCATTACAAACAATTTGCTTTCACTCAGGGAGCAGCAGGAGAAAGCAGGATTTTCCGTTTTAAATCTGTAGAATCGGATCTCAGCTTGGGACTGTAATGCTTGATGGAAGCCCTCCCCCATGTGCAATTCACCCAGACACTATAATCAAAATCCTGGACCTGCCTCCAATTTCCAGCTCCACAGGAATCTCACTCAGTGACAGCAAGAGGGAGGGCATTCTTAGTGTTGCCCCCCAGTAATGGAAAAAACTCCCTACTAAAGCCCACCAGGTGCCAACTCTGCTGTCCTTTTGGTGCCTGGTTAGGAATGTCCTCTATAGCGAGGCATTTAATTAGCTCTAAATAGTACACTGGTGCATTACATCAGCCGCTTAACAAGTCTTGTTTTAATTTGTGCTAGCTGTTGCAGTTGTTTAAATTCAGTTTTAAATATGGCTTTTAACTTTTGCATTTTATGGTATTTTATGGGCTCTTATAAACTGCCCAGAGCACTTTGGCTGTTAGACTGCACAGAAATAAAATAATCTTAGTCAATGACGGATGTAATGGAGCTTGCTCAGAAACCTGTATTGATACACAATTCTTGGAGCATGACTAATAATGCAATCCTGCCCTTGGTTTATACTATCTAGGATCATGGTTGTAATTGAAGCCTGGGTAGACCTCAGGAATACAGAATCAACCCTTCTTTTTCACAGAAACCCAAGGTCCACCCACCAGTGCCTGTTTCAAAAGATACACTTCAAATTTTAAAATCTGGAATCCACAAATTCCTTCTGGAATGCCAGAACTAAATGGAACCTTACTCCTTCTGCTCAAAATCCACTCCTACTCCAGAATACTGCAAGCTTTCTTCATTTCAACAATATAATCGGGCAATTTTATTTATATCCTACCTTTCTTCCCCAAGGTGGCTTACATAATCCTCCTCCTCTCACTCTTATTCTCACAATAGCCATGTGAGGTAGGCTGGGAGCCAAGCAGGGGCTAGTACCTGAGTTGCTCTGATCACTACTCTACACTGGGAATGGAGGAAGTTTCATTTTTGCTGCTGTTAAACAGTCACAAATCCTCCCCAATCTACTGCAATCACCCAGAGGCCTAATAGTAGATCCTGAGCTACCTTCTACCCTCCCTTTTAGTATAGCAACTACACAATGCTATACTACACAATGAAACTGCACTACACAATCTACTACACAATGAAACTCTACAGGGATATTGTTCTTACAAATATTGTAGTAGTCTAGCTTTTGTCGTAACCCTCACCACCTCCCTCAGGTCCTACTTCTTCAAAACTCCCAATGTACAAAAAGCCGCTCTGAAACCACACTTGGCTTTGTCTTTTGGGCCAGTGTTTACAGAAAAAATAAAATTTGCCAAGATTGCCATATGCAAACCTCACACAACAGCATTGCCCTGAGCCAGGTTTTTGCATTATTCTGGCAGTGTGGGAACTGCAGCAGTGCTGGTCTTTCCTGTGCTACTGTGTGACATGAAAAGCTCAGGGCCATGTGGAAAAATCACACACTATTCCAATATTAGCCCAATCCCTTGGGTGTTACTATTGCTTGAAGGGAGGAACCAAACATTACACATGAAGAAGTATTCCAGTGGTGGTGCTGGTGTAACACACATACTAGTCTTTAAACAGACCTTCATTTTCTACAAAGCTCTCCTACCATTAAGGATGTACACATTATCTTAAAACCATTCCTTTGCATTCTGCAGATTCTCATGCACCATTCATTCTGTTGTCTGAGCACTGATAGAAGCAGATTTATCTCTGGCATGGACAATAATTTGGTTCCACTTGAACAAGTGTGCATCAGTACTAATAAGCATCAGCACAAGTGTAAATTTGCACAAATCCCCTCTTAAGGTATTTTTTTAATCAGCCTGCAAACCCACAAGATCTGCTCTTCTTAGAAAAAGCCAGTCACTGAAAAATCCACAGGTCAGATTTACAGAAATCTAAACTCAGTGGAATCTCTTATAGATTTTGTCAAACCTGCCTCTCATATGCCTCCCCCCCCCCACACACTTTACTACTGTATTGCCTTTTCATGCTTGAGTTTGTCATTATTTTTCTTTTTTGGCATTTCTCCCTTTACTCCCAGTTTTATTCCCAGTGCACTAGAACTGTTAACATTTATTTTCCCCTACTTGATT